GGGTGGCTGGGGGGATATGGGGGGTTATGGGGCTCTATAGGGTGGCTCTGGGGGGTTATGGGGCTCTATAGGGGGCTGTGGGGGGGTTATGGGGCTCTATAGGGGGCTGGGGGGGGGTTATGGGGCTCTATAGGGTGGCTGGGGGGCTCTCTAGGGTGGCTGGGGGGGTTATGGGCCTCTATAGGGCGCTATGGGGGGTTATGGGGCTCTAGGGTGGCTGGGGGGGTTATGGGGCTCTATAGGGGGCTCTGGGGGGTTATGGGGCTCTATAGTGTGGCTGGGGGGGTTATGGGGCTCTATAGAGGGCTATGGGGGGTTATGGGGCTCTCTAGGGTGGCTCTGGGGGGTTATGGGGCTCTATAGGGTGGCTGGGGGGCTTACGGGGCTCTATAGAGGGCTATGGGGGGTTATGGGGCTCTATAGGGGGCTATGGGGCTCTATAGGGTGGCTGGGGGGGGTTATGGGGCTCTATAGGGTGGCTGGGGGGGGTTATGGGGCTCTATAGGGTGGCTGGGGGGCGTTATGGGGCTCTATAGGGTGGCTGGGGGGGTTATGGGGCTCTATAGGGGGCTATGGGGGTTATGGGGCTCTCTAGGGTGGCTATGGTGGTTATGGGGCTCTATAGGGGCCTATGGGGGTTATGGGGCTCTATAGGGGTCTATGGGGGTTATGGGGCTCTATAGGGGTCTATGGGGGTTATGGGGCTCTATAGGGGGGCTGTGGGGCTGAGGCCGCTGTGGGTCACCCCCCAGAAGAGGCCGCCCTGGTTCTGGAATGGCTGCACCGGGTCCAGGCCCCCCCCCGGATTGACCTCAGCCCCCCCCGGCGGTGAGACCTGGAGAGCCCCATAGAGCCCCATAGAGACCTATAGAGACCCTTACACCCCCATAGAGACCTATAGAGCCCCACAGAGACCTATAGAGACCTATAGAGCCCCATAGAGCCCCATAGAGACCTATAGAGACCCTTACACCCCCATAGAGACCTATAGAGCCCCACAGAGACCTATAGAGACCTATAGAGCCCCATAGAGCCCCATAGAGACCTATAGAGACCCTTACACCCCCATAGAGACCTATAGAGTCATAGAGCCCCACAGAGCCCCATAGAGACCTATAGAGTCATAGAGCCCCATAGAGCCCCATAGAGACCTATAGAGTCATAGAGCCCCACAGAGCCCCATAAAAACCTATAGAGACCCTTACACCCCCATAGAGACCCATAGAGACCTATAGAGACCTGTAGAGCCCTATAGAGCCCCACAGAGCCCCATAGAGACCTATAGTCATAGAGCCCCATAGAAACCTATAGAGACCCTTACACCCCCATAGAGACCCACAGAGCCCCATAGAGACCCACAGAACCCTACAGAGCCCCATAGAGCCCCACAGAGACCTATAGAGCCCCCATAGAGATCTATAGAGCCCCCATAGAGACCTATAGAGTCATAGAGCCCCACAGAGCCCCATAGAGCTCCACAGACACCTACAGAGCCCTATAGAGACTTCATACCCTTGGAGCCCCCATACAGACCTAGAGAGCCCCCAGCGAGCCTCCATAGAGATTCCATAGTGCCCCCTAGACCCATAGAGACCCTTAGAGACCCCACAAAGACCCCACAGAGATTCCATAGTACCCCATAGACCCATAGAGACCCTTAGAGACCGCACAGAGACCCCATAGGGCCCCCATAGATACCCCAGAGAGACCCATAGAGAACATAAAAGACTGCCCCATAGGGACCCCGTAGATACCTGTAGTAACCCCTGGACCCCTATAGGGACCCCATAGAGCCCCCCAGAGTGCCTCATGGGCACCCCATAGCCCCCTGTGTTCAGCCCACAGGTGCTGGTGGATGCCCAGGCCCAGATGCTGGAGCTGGAACTGGCCCCGGACCCCTTCTTTGGGGTTATGGGGATGGAGCTGCCGAGCCCCATAGCGCTGCCCAAGGTACTGCCCCATAGAGCCTGCCCCATAGCGCTGCCCCCAGTACTGCCCCATAGAGCTTGCCCCATAGAGCCTGCCCTATAGCGCTGCCCAAGGTACTGCCCCATAGAGGCTGCCCCATAGCGCTGCCCAAGGTACTGCCCCATAGAGCCTGCCCCATAGCGCTGCCCAAGGTACTGCCCCATAGAGCCTGCCCCATAGCGCTGCCCCAGGTACTGCCCCATAGAGCCTGCCCCATAGCGCTGCCCCCAGTACTGCCCCATAGAGCCTGCCCCATAGCGCTGCCCAAGGTACTGCCCCATAGAGCCTGCCCTATAGCGCTGCCCAAGGTACTGCCCCATAGAGCCTGCCCCATAGCGCTGCCCAAGGTACTGCCCCATAGAGCCTGCCCCATAGCGCTGCCCCCAGTACTGCCCCATAGAGCCTGCCCCATAGCGCTGCCCAAGGTACTGCCCCATAGAGCCTGCCCTATAGCGCTGCCCAAGGTACTGCCCCATAGAGCCTGCCCCATAGCGCTGCCCCCAGTACTGCCCCATAGAGCCTGCCCCATAGCGCTGCCCCCAGTACTGCCCCATAGAGCCTGCCCCATAGCGCTGCCCAAGGTACTGCCCCATAGAGCCTGCCCCATAGCGCTGCCCCAGGTACTGCCCCATAGCGCTGCCCAAGGTACTGCCCCATAGAGCCTGCCCCATAGCGCTGCCCCCAGTACTGCCCCATAGAGCCTGCCCCATAGCGCTGCCCCCAGTACTGCTCCATAGAGCCTGCCCCATAGCGCTGCCCCCAGTACTGCCCCATAGAGCCTGCCCCATAGCGCTGCCCCCAGTACTGCCCCATAGAGCCTGCCCCATAGCGCTGCCCAAGGTACTGCCCCATAGAGCCTGCCCCATAGTGCTGCCCCAGGTACTGCCCCACAGAGCCTGCCCCATAGCGCTGCCCAAGGTACTGCCCCATAGAGCCTGCCCCATAGCGCTGCCCCCAGTACTGCCCCATAGAGCCTGCCCCATAGCGCTGCCCAAGGTACTGCCCCATAGAGCCTGCCCCATAGCGCTGCCCCCAGTACTGCCCCATAGAGCCTGCCCCATAGCGCTGCCCAAGGTACTGCCCCATAGAGCCTGCCCCATAGCGCTGCCCAAGGTACTGCCCCACAGAGCCTGCCCCACAGCATTGCCCCAGGTACTGCCCCATAGCGCTGCCCAAGGTGCTGCCCTATAGAGCCTGCCCCATAGAGCCTGCCCCATAGCACTGCCTTAGGTACTGCCCTATAGAGCCTGCCCCATAGCGCTGCCCCCGGTACTGCCCCATAGAGCCTGCCCCATAGCGCTGCCCCCGGTACTGCCCCATAGAGCCTGCCCCATAGCGCTGCCCCAGGTACTGCCCCATAGAGCCTGCCACATAGCACTGCCTTAGGTACTGCCCCATAGGTACTGCCCCATGGTGCTGTCCCAGGTACCGCACCATAGAGTCTGACCCATAGATCCTGCCCCAGGTACTGCCCCATAGAGCCTGCCCCATAGAGTCTGACCTGTAGAGCCTGCCCCATAGTGCAGCCACAGGTACTGTTCCATAGATCCTGCCCCATAGAGCCTGCCCCATAGCACTGCCACAGGTACTGCCCCATAGAGCCCATCCTAAAGATCCTGCCCCATCAATCCCTGCCCTATAGCTCCCACCCCATCAATCCCTGCCCTATAGCTCCCACCCCATAGATCCTGCCATATAGATATTGCCCCATAGTGCCTGCTGTAATGCCCACCCCATATTCCCTATAGATGTTGCTGGAGGAGATCCCGCCACCACCAGGTGAGTTCTGCCCCATAAGTGGGGGGCTATGGGGGGGGTGCATGGGTGTCCATGAGGTGGCTGTAGGGTGTCCATGGGCTGTATGGGGGCTATGGGGAGCTGTGGGGCTCTACTGGGGGGTCTGTGGGGTGTCTGTGGGGCACTATGGGATGTCTGGGAGGGTCTATGGGGCTGACCCCCAAGTGCTGTCCCACTGCAGTCCCCCCCCTGACTGTGTCCCCTGAGGCCATCACCCTGAGAGAGCCTGAGCCCGAGGCCCTGGTGCTGCCCGGCATCGAGGTGGGTCTGCCCCATAGGAGCCGGATGGGGGGTTATGGGGCTCTATGGACTCCAGTGGTGGTTGACCTGATGTCCCGTTGCGTTACTAGACCCCTATGGGGTGCTATGGGGCTGCCCCCTAGAGGGTTTCGGGGTGCTATGGGGCTGCCCCATAGGGGTTATGGGGCTGCCCTTATAGGAGGTTAGGGCTTGCTATGGGGCTGCCCCATAGAGGGTTAGGGGGCGCTGTGGGGCAGCCCCATAGCGCTGTGGGGCACAGGAGGAGGAGCTGCCTGAGGTGACCCTGAGGGAGCTGGAGCTGCTGAGAGAGGCTGAGGCTGAACTGGTACCCCCAGGTATGGGGCAGGGGTCACTTATGGGGCTGGGGGGGCAGGGGAGAGGCCTTGACTTTCCCCAGCCCCATAGCAACCCTGGGTTGTGCCCCATAGAAAAGGAAGTGCCTGAGGTGCCGGAGCTGGTGGAGGTCCCACGTGAGCACTTATGGGGCACAAGGAGCACTTAGGGGTTTCTATGGGTCACTTATGGGGCTGGGGAGGGTCACCTACGGGTCACAGTGTTTCACTTATGGGGCACAGGGGGCACCTATGGGTCTGGGGGGGTCACTTATAGGGCAGAAGGGTGCACTTACGGGGCTGGGGAAGACACAGGAGTCCCAGAGGGTCACAAGGGGTTACGTACAGGTCTCTATGGGTCACTTATGGGGCAGAGGGGGGCACTTATGGGGCTCAGAAGGGCAGTTATAGGGCACGGGGGGCACAAGGTCTGTGGGGTGTCATGGGTCACCATGGGTCACTTATGGGGCAGAGGGGTGCACTTACGGGTCTGGGGGGTCACTTATGGGTCCACAGAGTCACGGGTCTCTATGGGGCACTTATGGGGCACAGGGAGCACATATGGGTTTCTGTGGGTCACGGGGCTGGGGGGGGTCACTTATGGGGCAGAGGGTGGGATTTATGGGTCACAGTTGGTCACTTATGGGGCAGCCTCTCCCCACAGCTCCCATCCTCCCTGCGGTGCCCCCCATCACGGTATGTGTGGGGCCTCTATGGGTCTCTACGGGGTCTCTATGGGGCCCTAACCCCCTATACCCCCTGTAGCCTCCTGTTGCCCCACGGCGGCGCCGCCGGCGCCGCCTGCCCCATAGCGACCCCGAGCCCCAGCTGCCCCAGGCCCAGTTCCAGGCCCAGCTCCTGCAGCCCGAGAGCCACTGTCAGCCCCTGGTGAGTGGGGCCTGTCTATGGGGCAGCCCCATAGATCTATGGGGCAGGAGCTAGAGATGCACCCCATAGGTGCTGCCTGAGCCCCCCAAGAGGCGCCGCTGGACCCCAAAGCAGCTGCTGGAGACCCCGACCTGTGGTGGGGCTATGGGGCACTATGGGGGTCTATGGGGCTCAATGGCTCTCTATGGGGCTCTATCGGGCTCTGCTCTGCCCCATAGGGTGGCTGCCCCCCAACCTCTGGGCCCTATGGAATCGCTGCCGGCTCCTGCCCCACATCGAGGCCCCCCCAGTCCCCCCTGAGCTGCCCAGTGAGGTGGAGGTGAGGCCCCTGCCCCATAGATCCCCCTTCAGCCCCATAAATTCCCATTCAGGCCCATAGATGCTCTCCTGCCCTATAGATCCCCCTTTAGCCCCATAGATTCCCATTCATCCCCATAGATGCCCCCCCTGCCCCATCAATCCTGCCTGCTCATCCCCATTCAGCCCCACAGATTCTACCCTTCAGCCCTAGACCTCTCTCCCTTCAGCCCCATAGATCTCAGTCCCACAGATCCCCCTTGTAGCCTCATGGATTCCCCCTTCAGCCCCATATACCCCCTCAGCCCCATAGGTCCCCATTTAGCTGCACAGACCCCCTCCCAGCCCCATAGATCCCCATTTAGCCCCCCACATTCCCCCTTTCAGCCCTATAGATCACCTTCTCTGCCCTGTAGGTGCTGCGAGAGGCGCTGGAGCCGAGTCTGCCCCCACTGCCCTCCTCGGGTGAGCTATGGGGTGTCTGTGGGTCTCTGGGGGGGATCTGTGGGGCGCTATGGGGTGCTGTGGGGCTCATGGGTCTCTCCCCATAGAGGTGTCTCTGGAGGTGTCAGAGGAGGAGCTTCGGCCCCGTCTGCTGATCCCTGAGGAGCGGCGGTGAGTGGGGGGGGCTCTGCCCCACACTTGTGGGTCCAGCCCCACACTTATGGGTCCCCCACTCTGCCCCACAGGCCCCTCCCTCCATTGCCACCCCCCCCGCTCCCGGAGCTGCCTGAACGCCCCGAACCGGAGCTGCCCCCCAGTGTCCCCCCCAACATGGCCGCCCTGCGCAGGTTGGTGCCCCCCCCCCACTTATGGGGCAGCCCCATAAGTGCCCCCCCCCCCCAGCCCCATAAGTGCCTCCCACCCACACATACGAGGCTGCCCCATAAGTGCACCCCCCACTTACAGGGCAGCGCCGTAAGTGGGGGACGGGGGGGTACTTATGGGGCTGCCCCATAGGCTGGTGGCAGCTGCGGCACGGCAGCCGGGGGGGGGGGAGCTGGCGGCCATCTTGCCCCCCACCGCCTCCCGGCTGCTCATGGGACGGCTGTTCTACCTGTGCCTGGGTGAGTGGGGGGGCAGCCCCATAAGTGACCCCCCCCCTGACCCATAAGGGACCTTTTGGGCCCCATAAGTGACTCCTAACCCCCGCCTCAGCCCGATCAGTGCCCTCCTGTGCCCCATAAGTGTGTCTACCCCCAGGTGACCCCCCCTGACCCATAAGTGGACTTCCCCCTAAGTGCCCCATAAGTGACACCCCCAGCCCCATAAATGATCCTTTGGGCCCCATAAGTGACTCCTAACACCCACTCAGCCCCACAAGTGTCTGCCCCCCAAGTGCCCCCTGTGCCCCGTAAGTAATCCCCAACCACCCCCTAGCCCCATAAGTGAACCCCAGCTGCATGACCCCTTGAGCCCCATAAGTGAACCCCCCCAGACCCATAAGTGTCTGCCCCCCAAGTGACCCCCAAACACCCCCTGGCACCATAAATGAACCCCTGCTGCATGACCCCTTAAGCCCCATAAGTGACCTTTTGGGACCCATAAGTGATCCCCCAAGCACCCGCCCCAGCCCCATAAGTGGTTCCACCCAGCCCCATAAATACCCTCTGTGCCCCATAAGTCCTCTCCCAGCCCCATAAGTGTGTTTGTTTGCCCCGTTGCAGGTCTGCCCTGTGATGCCCCAGCCCCATAAGTGACACCCTCACCCCCATACGTGCCCTTATGAGCCCCATAAGTGACCCCCAACCCCCTCCCCCCCCAGCCCCATAAGTACCTCCTTCTCCCCCCCCAGTAAGTGTGGGGCTGCCCCCTAAGTGCCCTGTGCCCCATAGAGCTCTGTGGTGCTGGATGGCTGCGGCTGGAGCAGACCCAGCCCTTTGGCCCCATACGTGTGGGGCCGGGGCCACGCGGGGCACCCCCAGATATGGGGCAGGAGGAGGAGGAAAGGGTGGCCCCAGAGCCCTCCTATTAAAAGCTCTTTGGACCCAATGGCGGCTCCTGATTGGTTCGTGGTGTGATGATGTCATTGGGAGGGGAGATTTGATTGGCTGGCAATGGGGGTGCAGGGTCAGAGGGGATCATAGCCCCCCATAGACACCCCATAGCTCCCTTTAGTTCCCTACAGACACCCCATAGACCCCCACAGCCCCCCATAAAGCCCTATAGCTCCCCATAAACACCCCATAGAGCCCCATAGCTTCCCTATAGCACCCCATAGCCCCTCATAGACGCACTACAGACCTTCATAGCACCCCACAGCTCCCTAGAGACACCCCACAGCACCCTATAGACACCCCACAGGCCCCCTACAGAGCCCCACAGCCTCCCCAGAGCACCCCACAGACACCCCATAGACCCATATATCACCCCATAGAGTCCCTCATAGGCACCCCATAGCTCCCCACAGCACCCTACAGACACCCCACAGGCCCCCTGGAGAGCCCCACAGCATTCCCCATAGCACCCCATGGACCCACACAGACCCCCACACGCACCCCATAGACCCCCAGAGCCCCTCACAGACACACCATAGACCCATGTATCACCCCATAGAGCCCCACAGTCCCTCACAGGCACCCCATAGCTCCCCACAGCACCCTATAGACACCCCATAGGCCCCCTACAGAGCCCCACAGCCTCCCCATAGCACCCCATGGACCCCCACAGACCCCCACAGCCCCTCACAGACACCCCACAGACCCATATATCACCCCATAGAGCCCCACAGTCTCTCATAGACACCCCATAGCTCCCCACAGCACCCTACAGACACCCCACAGGCCCCCTACAGAACCTCACAGACACCCCACAGACCCATATATCACCCCATAGAGCCCCACAGTCCCTCACAGGCACCCCATAGCTCCCCATAGCACCCTACAGAGCCCCACAGCCCCTATTCCACCCTATGGGGCCGGGCTGCAGCACTTGCACCCAGCGTGGGTTGGGGGGAGACCCCAACTCCCCCCCTCCCGCAGCTCTATAGGGGATGGGACCCCAAAGCTGCCTCCGTGGGGCACCAGGACCCCCATAACCCCCCCATGTAACGAACGGGACGCCCGAAGCCACCCTGTGTGAGCCACGGGACCCCTAACGCACCCCTTTATTGGGCAATGAGCCCCGCAGCCCCATAGATAAGCACCGGGACCCCCAAGTTGGCCCCATAGGGGCCCCATTGGCCCCGCTCCACCTGCGCCGAGCCGGGCCCCTTCCGCGCCGCCGCCATCTTGGAATGAGACCGGAAGTGCGGGGGCGGCGCTTATAAAGGCCCGGCGGCGCTCTAGCCCGGCGCGACTCGATGGTGCCGGAAGGGGGCGGGGCCAAGGGAGGGGAACGCTCCCTGCGGCCTTAAAAGGGCAATGGAAGAGGAGGGGGCTGCCGTGGGGCTTAAAGGGGCAATGGACCTAAAGGGGGCGGAGTCAAGGCATTGAGGTCAATGCCCTTATAAGGGTGATAGGAGCACTCTGGGTCCAAGGGGCGGAGTCAAAGCCACTGGGGCCACGCCCCCATACCCTTAAAAGGGCAATGGGGCAGATCCGCTGATACGGGGCTCACTGCATGTCTTAAAGGGGTAACGGACCTAAAGGGGGCGGAGTCAAGGCACTGAGGTCAATGCCTTTATAAGGGTGATAGGACCACTCAGCGTCAAAGGGGCGGGGTCAAAGCCATTGGGGCCACGCCCTCATATCCTTAAAAGGGCAATGGGGAAGAACTACTGATACGGGGCTCACTGCATGTCTTAAAGGGGCAATTGACTGAGGCCACGCCCTCATACCCTTAAAAGGGCAATGGGGCAGAACAGCTGATATGGGGCTCACTGCATGTCTTAAAGGGGCAATGGACTGAGGCCACGCCCTCATACCCTTAAAAGGGCAACGGGGCAGAACCACTGATATGGGGCTCACTGCATGTCTTAAAGGGGCAATGGACCTAAAGGGGGCGGAGTCAAGGCCGTGAGGTCAATGCCCTTATAAAGGCAATAGGCCCCCTGATTAATTACCATGGGTCATTAACGAGGCCCTTTCATTGTCCCTACAAGGACGGCTGCTCTGAACCGTTCCCCTGTGAAGCACAACGAGGCCCAGCTCCAAGTCCTCTTCCCTTCGGGCGTGCAGCAGCAGATCCAGCCATGCCCCCGCTCCCCACCGAGGGCCATGGCAGATGGAGGAAGCCCAGCCCGTCCCTGCTGGGTACAAAGAGAGAGGATCCCGGGAGCAGGACGGCTCCTGGCACAGGGCCTGATGTGCAGACAGACCCCAGAACTCGTTAAACTTCTAAAGCAGCTTTGCCTTTATTCAGCCGAGGCGCATGGGGATTGCAACTCCGAAAGCATGCGCACCCCAGCCTTGTTCTCCTCTGCAGTTATCCCCTCAAGTGCTACATATGCATGAGGTTACACAACACGCCTATACATATTCATGTCCTACCCCTCGTCGCATTCTCATGGGCTCAAAGGTCCTTTGCGCTTGCGCAGTGCCTCCTGGTGGTCGTGGGGTAGGGGTCTCAGGATGAAGTAACTGAGTCTTCCTCCTGTGGGTAGGGGTCTCAAGACCATCCCCATCCCATCCCATCCCATCCCATCCCCATCCCATCCCCATCCCATCCCCATCCCATCCCATCCCATCCCATCCCATCCCCATCCCATCCCCATCCCATCCCATCCCATCCCCATCCCATCCCCATCCCATCCCATCCCCATCCCATCCCCCTCCATCCCATCCCCATCCCATCCCATCCCCATCCCATCCCATCCCCATCCCCATCCCATCCCATCCCCATCCCATCCCCATCCCATCCCCATCCCATCCCATCCCATCCCCATCCCATCCCCATCCCATCCCCATCCCCATCCCATCCCATCCCATCCCCATCCCATCCCCATCCCATCCCATCCCCATCCCATCCCATCCCATCCCCATCCCATCCCCATCCCATCCCCATCCCATCCCATCCCCATCCCATCCCCATCCCATCCCCATCCCATCCCATCCCCATCCCATCCCATCCCATCCCCATCCCATCCCATCCCCATCCCATCCCATCCCATCCCCATCCCATCCCATCCCATCCCCATCCCATCCCATCCCATCCCATCCCATCCCCATCCCATCCCATCCCATCCCCATCCCATCCCATCCCATCCCCATCCCATCCCCATCCCATCCCATCCCATCCCATCCCATCCCCATCCCATCCCATCCCATCCCCATCCCATCCCCATCCCATCCCCATCCCATCCCATCCCATCCCATCCCCATCCCATCCCATCCCATCCCATCCCATCCCCATCCCATCCCCATCCCATCCCATCCCATCCCATCCCATCCCATCCCATCCCATCCCCATCCCATCCCATCCCATCCCATCCCATCCCATCCCCATCCCCATCCCATCCCATCCCCATCCCATCCCATCCCATCCCATCCCATCCCATCCCCATCCCATCCCATCCCATCCCATCCCATCCCCATCCCATCCCATCCCCATCCCATCCCATCCCATCCCCATCCCATTCCATCCCCATCCCATCCCATCCCATCCCCATCCCATCCCATCCCCATCCCATCCCCATCCCATTCCATCCCCATCCCATCCCATCCCATCCCATCCCATCCCATCCCATCCCATCCCATCCCATCCCATCCCATCCCCATCCCATCCCTTCCACCCCCACCCCGGGTCCGGTCTTGCCCTGCCCCTCCCCCACTGCAGCACCCCTCATGGGGGAGGGGCAGGAAGGAAGCGGGGGGGGGGTGGGGGGGGTGGGGAGCACGTGGGGCTCCCGCAATGGCACCCGCGGGCGGCGTCATCGCGGTCATTGGGGCGCTGGTGGCCGGTACGGGGGTCAAGGGGGCTCCTGTGAGCTATGGGGCAGGGATGGGGGCTCCTGTGAGCTATGGGGCAGGGATGGAGCCACTGCCTGCAATGGGGCAGGGATGGAGGCCGCTGCCTGCAGTGGGGCAGGGATGGGGGCTCCTGTGAGCTATGGGGCAGGGATGGGGGCTCCTGTGAGCTATGGGGCAGGGATGGGGGCTCCTGTGAGCTATGGGGCAGGGATGGGGGGCTCCTGCGTGCTATGGGGCAGGGATGGGGGCTCCTGTGAGCTATGGGGCAGGGATGGGGCCACTGCCTGCAATGGGGCAGGGATGGGGCTCCTGTGAGCTATGGGGCAGGGATGGGGGCTCCTGTGAGCTATGGGGCAGGGATGGGGGCTCCTGTGAGCTATGGGGCAGGGATGGGGGCTCCTGTGAGCTATGGGGCAGGGATGGGGGCTCCTGTGAGCTATGGGGCAGGGATGGGGCCACTGCCTGCAGTGGGGCAGGGATGGGGGCTCCTGTGAGCTATGGGGCAGGGATGGGGGCTCCTGTGAGCTATGGGGCAGGGATGGGGGCTCCTGTGAGCTATGGGGCAGGGATGGGGCCACTGCCTGCAGTGGGGCAGGGATGGGGGCTCCTGTGAGCTATGGGGCAGGGATGGGGGCTCCTGTGAGCTATGGGGCAGGGATGGGGGCTCCTGTGAGCTATGGGGCAGGGATGGGGGCTCCTGTGAGCTATGGGGCAGGGATGGGGGCTCCTGTGAGCTATGGGGCAGGGATGGGGCCACTGCCTGCAGTGGGGCAGGGATGGGGGCTCCTGTGAGCTATGGGGCAGGGATGGGGGCTCCTGTGAGCTATGGGGCAGGGATGGGGGCTCCTGTGAGCTATGGGGCAGGGATGGGGGCTGCTGTGAGCTATGGGGCAGGGATGGGGGCACGGCCTGCAATGGGGCAGGGATGGGGGCTCCTGTGAGCTATGGGGCAGGGATGGGGGCTCCTGTGAGCTATGGGGCAGGGATGGGGGCTCCTGTGAGCTATGGGGCAGGGATGGGGGCTCCTGTGAGCTATGGGGCAGGGATGGGGGCTCCTGTGAGCTATGGGGCAGGGATGGGGGCTGCTGTGAGCTATGGGGCAGGGATGGGGGCTCCTGTGAGCTATGGGG